CAACACAAAGAAATAGAAAAACTTTGCTTGGGAAATGTATTACTAGGCCACCTAAGTAAAATGGACCGGCAATTGATTTTTTTTTTTTAATTTATTTTATGTTTATAACTGAGGGGATTGAAGCTTTCTTGGTCTATTACAATCTAAGAAATCAATTAATTATTTGTGCAAGGATTAAATTTTGTACTCACAAACAAATTGAAAAGTACAAGAAAATAATATTTCAAGAGAAAAAAGTAAGAAATTGTGGAGAAGAAAGGGAGAATCAATGTGAGTCAATTAAGAATAAGGTTATATTGAAATAGAATCATGGGGTATGTGTCATATCTAATTTCTATTAGCCGTGTTCATGATGAATCCAAATGGCTCAAAGAAATTTCAGAAAATTTTCAAGAAAAAAAAATTTTGAGGCATGACAGGAATAGCATGTTTGACGTGTTGGATATGTGTGTCCAAAGTGTCCGACCATCAACAATGTGTTTCTAGGTCAATATAACTTATGGGACTGCTTATGCAAGATAGAACTAAACTTTACCACTTCAATCATTTTTAGTTACACCAAGGTGATGGTTTTGAGTGAGTTTAACATTTCGAAAACCATAATATGAAAAGTCCATCCCCAGATTAGCCTTGAAACAAAAACAACAAAATCGAAGTTGCACCCTCATAAATTCATATATAATTGCTGAATTTTGACAAACTCAGTAGCACGGCATCTTCTATATGACAACTCACCTGTTGCTCCTCTTTAGACATGTGCTGGTTGAGTGATGTCTTGATTGCTCCGGTGCGTGAAGCAAGTTCTCTTAGAAATCTATCATCGCCTTGCATGTTTGAGCTTAGCAGATCAAACAACTGACTGAAAAGATCATTTTCTCTCTCATGTTCAAGAGAATACGTCCTTGCCACATTCTTTACTCTGATATCAAGAGCTGGGAAAATCACCTATCATTTGAAAGGAAGCATATGAGATTAAAATTACATATGATGCATTTGCTCTGAGCAGCATACAAATGGCAACCATGTTCACGTGGAATGAATAAAACTGATTGAAGACACAAGCACAAGGAAAAAAGTATGCATATCCAAATTAAATTCATGCATTTATGACCACAAGACTCAAAGAATTCCAATTTGTTAAAAAGCCCTGAGATTAAAAATGCTACCTCTTACATTGAACCAAGAACTGAAAGATATACGAAGGATTCTAATGGAAGGACACGGAAGAAAACGAATTAAAAAAAAAAAAAAGGTATCCAAACAGAATAACTAAATAGAATATAGCGCATTTAGAATTTCCGCACAACAGGGCAATGGGAAATGGAAAGAATTAATTCCCAAATATAAAAAATCTACTCCAAAAAAAACCAAAGCCCGATTCCAACTTGCATTTGGCAATCATACTAAACAAAAGAAATAAAATGCTTCCACAGCAACTTTCAGTTCTTATATCCAAGCTTCCCTCACACGACCACTGAATCATGCCTCACACCCACAGCCACATCTCCCTAACAGCAAAACTCGTAAACCTAACCACATAATCATAAGAAACCACATTCTCAACCCCAAACCCTAGAAACAGAAACAATCACAGCAGGCGATACACGCAAGCTTTCATACCGCGTCCTCTGCATTGCAGTGATGCTTATATATATCGAACAGGAACCGACATCGCTCCGACAGCCACCGTAGATCGCCAACCCCATCCGTAGCGAACGCAATCGCGGCTCGGTGCAGCTGCTCGAGCTCTGACCGGATAGCTTTCTGAAATACCATAAACATAAATATCGGAGACTTATCACCCGAATTCATGCAGGTTGAAGATGACGCCGCGGGAGTAGAAGACGAACACGGGGTGGCGGGGTCGATGGAGTTCACGGGTTCTTGTGGTATCAGGGCCAGAACTCCGTCCCCTGACAATGGCGTCGCCATCCTGCTGCGGTGCTTGAGGTAGGTTTTATGAGAGCGGGTAGGAGTAGAACTGCAATAAATTCCAATCACTGCGCAGGTCGTCGTTTTAGCTTCTTGCGTTTGTCTCCGGAACAGAGACGGGGAGAAGAAGAGAGGCTGAGAATCGGGGACGAAGTGGGTTCGCTTTCGCTGATTAGGCGATTGATTTATTGAATTCCGTTTTTGCCCTTCGAAAAGGATATATTGTGTCTTTTGTGGAAAGGTTATTGGACCGACTGGTTGGAGGATATAAATATAATTTGCCAGCTGAGCAAGAGTATCTTGTCGCATAGGATTGAAAAAAGAGTGGAATATTTTTTATTGAGAGGAGGTTCGGAGTATCTAAACAATTTAAAATTTAAAATAAAAAATAAATTATGATTTTTTTTTTCTTTTGTGAAAATCACGATCACTCATGACTTTATTCAAAAATAAAAAATAATAATAATATAAAATATATTACAACACAACACAAAAAATAAAAAAGACTCACTAAATAAAAAACATACATAACAGAAGCTCGTTCGTGTCTTGCGTAGCAGATGATCAATGAGACATTATTTTCATGTTGCGATGAAGAAGAGAGTCGTCTCTTACTTGAGTAGGACGCGATTAATGAGATTTTCTTTTGTGTTGTTGAGATGATTTATATAAGAGGTCACTCCTAACCTCCAAGAAGTTGTAAAAGAATTTGTATCTGCATAGGATGTGAGAAGACTAACCCACTACAAACGTGCTCGGGACATTGATCTGAATGATCTTTTGCGACTGCAGTGAAGGTTGCTCCTCACTTTAAAGATTACTTCAGAGATGATTTTCAAGATGCAAATGAGATTCCTTAATCAGTTGGATAATGTACATCATTGAGAAACGAAGTAGGGTCTCGATGTCTCAAAGTTGAATATAGCGTCGAACAGAACTTTGCTTCCCTCAGATGAAGCTAATCTGATGTGTGTTAGAAGATTCACGACAATAGAATAATGATTATTTATCGTCCTAGCTTTGTATGAAAAATCAGTCCACGCTTAAATAATTAAACAGAAGTGAATAGGAGAAGACATCGATTTTTTTTGTGGAAACCCCTTGAATGGGGAAAAAATCACAGGGGCATCGCCCAGTTGAAATAATTCACTATGAATGGTGAGTAAATGAGTTCACTCTTTTTCTGAATCAGGAAAAATGAAATAACAAAATTGTATATTTGTAATTGGTTGTAGTTCTTAACAACAGCATTTTGCAAGGGCTATAGTTGATTACTACATATGTCATAGTTTGTCGTGAGTGTTGTAGATGATAGTTGTAGTGTCAGTTTGTCGTGAAAGTCGTAGTTGATAACCATGACAGTAGTTGGTCAGGTGAATTGTAAATGGTTGCTTCAGGAGTGTCGGTTGGCCGCAGAGGTCGTAGTAGGAGTTGCAGGAAATGTAGACTATGTAGGTTGTATATACCAAAGTGGTGAGCAACAATGACATTTGTGGGCCGCAGGGGCCGAAGTCAGAAGCTGCACAAGTTGTGGACCATATATGTAATAATTGGTCACGTCAGCCGTAGTGATAAGTGGTAGTGATGTCTGTAGGACGCAAGGGCTCGAGTCGAGAGCTATACGAGCTACAGACCACGTAGGTTATAGGTGGTCACGTAGGCTGCAGTGGTGAGTTACGATGGTGTTCGTGGTCATAGGGGGTCGTAGTCAAGAGTTGCACGAGCTATGGATCACGTAGGCCGTAGTGGTTAGTAATGATGTTCATAAGCTGCAAACGTCAGGTTCGGAATCTGCACAAGCTATGGACCATACGAGTAGTTGGTTACGTAGTGTGTAGTGGTGAGTAGTAATGATGTCCGTAAGCCGCGGGGGGCCAGAGTCTAGAGCTGCACGAGCTATGGACCACGTAGGTTGTAGTGGTGAGTAGTAATAGCATTTAAAGGCCATGAGAGCCGGAGTCGGGACTTGCACGAGCTGTGGGCCAAATATGTCATAGTTGATCACTTTGGCCGCAGTTGGTGAGTAGTAATGACATCTGTAGGCGCGGGGATCAGAGTCAGGAGTTATACGAACTAGATCAGAGTCAGGAGTTATACGGACTATGGACCACCTATTTTGTAGTTGGTCACGTCGGACGTAGAGGTGAGAAATAATGACGTTCGTAGGTTGTGAGGGCCAAAGTTCAGAGTCGTAAGAGTTATAGACCACATAGGTCATAATTGGTCACGTCGGTCGTAATAGTGAGTTGCGATGGCATCCGTGGGCCACAAGGGTCGAAATTCAAAGCTAAACGAGTTGTGGACCACGTAGGTCGTAGTGGTGAGTAGGAATGACGTCGACAGGGAGCGAGGTCCGGAGTCAAGCTGCATGAGCTTTGGATCACATAGACCATAGATTGGTCATGTAGCCGTAGTGGTGAATAGCAATGATGTTCGTAGGTCGTGGGGGTCGAAGTCAATAGCTGCAATAGCTGTGGAGCACGTATGTCATAGTTGATGACATAGGTCATAGTGGTGAGTTATAATGATGTTTGTTGGCCATGAGGGCAGGAGTTAAGATCTGCACGAGAGTATGCAATGTGCATCGTTACCCCATCTTCGAGATACGCTGTTGCACCTTCTTTGGGGTGCAGGGGCGTTGTTGCGCCGTTTTTGCGGTCAGCCTAATGTTCAGGATGATGCGCCGCTTCATAAGTTGCTTCGTGACTTTGCGACGTTATTTGTTGCTTTGTACTGTATTTCATCGCAAGGAGTGGGAGGCAGTCAATGGAGATTGGCGGTAGTCTACTAGTAGTGGTTGATGGAGGTCAGCAGGTGTAGGAGTGGCAGACAACTTCATCCCTTCTCCAACCTTCAGTCTTCTTCAGGCTTCGAACTCTCTCCCCCCATTTTCAAGCGAGGGGCGAGTCTCAATTTATAAAGTCCCACCTGCAGTTAATGAATGAATCTAAACCACTTTGATCCATCGCCCCAAAGAGAGTCTCTCGATCAGATGGTGTTTGATGGACATTTAAGTATCATAATAATATCAGAATTGAGCTATCTTAGACTCATTAGATACATCTTATCGAGAAACTCGATTCGACTATAAGTTCATCAAATTTGACGTATATTTGACCTTCAAAATATTCCCCAAAAGCTTTCAAAATCGGTTTAATGTCTTGATCGATGTTTAATGTCTTGATCGATGCTTGATTTGGTTCAGATTAGATCAATTTTAGTACCATTGAATTTGTCTTGTCGAACCGTTCAGTTTGACTGAAAGTTTGCTAAAATTAAAACGATGAATGACTCTCAATCAAAATCTGCATGTTTCTCATTCAAAAGATCAGATCCATCTCATTCCTTTATATTCATGTATGTTAGTGTATCAATAATAATAATAATAATAATACTAATAATAATAAACCCTAACAAACATTGCGACAAAGAGATATACAAAACATAGTGAAAATAAGAATATAAATCTAATATTTCAGTTCTAACAACTATAAAAGGCCTTGGTCAAATGATGTGGGGGAGTTGAAAAATCAACCGATGAGATGGCATATTCGTAAATAAACATCCGGGACCGTTGGCGCGGGCGAATCACGCGAGCGAAGGAGATGAGGAACGTGCCCGCTAATGGCGGCCACGAGGATTCGCCCACACGACTGATGACCGCGCTGACAATTGACTAGCGAAATAATTTGTCGCCTCCGCCTGATTTTACCCCCGTTAGTTATTTAAGAAAGATTTACATACATACCCCTCAATTTTTATACATTTACATATCCATTTTCTCCTTCTGAAATCGTGTGTACTTTAATTTCTTTTTAAGCTAAAATAGTGATAATTTTTATATGACACAGAAAGATTCGAGTGATAAAAATGTAAAAAATTTAAAGCTAAGTTGTTCTATTCGTAAATAAATAGAACTTGGTGATACAAAAATAACACGTCTTTATTCCACTAAGTGAGGTCGGCTACATGAATTTTTTTCTCTAATCGGTACAATTGAGTGTCATGTTTTCATTTAATTTTAATAGAATAAGATCATTTTATATACAATATGTTCGAGTCTTTTTTAAGTTTATCCACACTTCTTAACATAAGTCGATCTAAAACATCTACTTTACTAACTGGAACATCAGATGGTCATCTAAAATGACTCTCTTTAATCTTTTCTGCCACCAGAGCTACACCAACGCTATCATGGATATATTCATTTTGCAAATTTTATAAAAAAAAAAATACTTTTTAAATATGATTTTATAAATTTGAATTTATCTGTTCGAGTCCCGCTCATATTCAAAATGACTCGTAAAAAAAATATGTTTATACTTTGCTCAAATGTAGCTCTAATACCTTTAAAAAGATAAATTTACAATAATTTTTTTTTTAAATAAAGCATAACAAATCAAAGCAAAAAAATATAATAAATATTACTAATTTAATTATTTAATTAATTCAAAACACGATTGAGAAAATATTTATTTATGTTCGATTTATTTATAAATCGAATTCAAAATTATTATTCGTATTCGACATGATTGCTTAACAAATGAATAAAACGTGTAAATTCCCAAAATACCCCTGAGTTAAAATAACTGTATTTTTGATGTGATATGAAAATTTCGGGTGGTATAGAAGTAAAAATAAAATAAAATTTTGATGTTAGATATGTAAAAAGCACAATTTAAAATGTTGCATTTATCAACCTCTTATTTTGAACTCCATAAATGCTACTTTTATAAAACTTACACTAAAATGTGAGGAAGGAAAATTAGCATATATTCTTAATCAGTGCTTCTTGGGGGTAGATTTGTAAAAAAACATATTGTTAATGACATCAAAATATATGCATGAGGTGTAAAACACATCTCATGCATATATTTTGATGTAATTATGACACTAAAGTATTATATAAATAAGAATGGTTTACATACATAGCACTCAATTTCCATGTATTTACATATATATCCAACACATGCATAAATATCCTGTATTTTTAGCAAAAATACAGAAGATAGAAGCTGAACAAAATTGAATGTCACATTGCTACAACTAATTGAGTATCTTCACAGCTGACAGGAAGAATAAGAAGGGAAATTTACATACATACCATAAGATTCTTATGTAATTACATACCAACACCTAAACTTTCATTTTTACATCCAACACTTTGGTGTGAGAAAGCTTAGGCGCATTTAATCGCCGTATTTTTGCAAAAAAATTTCTGTACGGACTCCTGACGTACCTCTAGGTGCGGCGCAAGGTATTCGTGAGTTATTTTCAGGTTATTTCTGAATTATTTTCAATAATCCCGAAATAACTCAGAAATAACCCGCAGTCTTTATTTTTGGGTTATTTCGAGATTATTGAAAATAACTCATAAATAATCTGAAAATAACTCAGAAATAACCTGCACCGCACGTAGAGATACGTCAAGTGTCCGGACAGAAAATACGCGCGTATTTTTGATGCAATGTTAAAGATTCGAGTGTCATGGATGTAAATACATAAGAATTCTGCGGTATTACGTAAATGCCCCTTGTAATTTGCAGTGAAAATCTAACAAAAAATTGTAACTGAGTATACATATATGGAAGAAAACCAGAACTGACCTGCTGAAACTTCCAGCTCTGAAAAGAAAAAATACTGAAGACTTCTTCTTTGTTCCATCAGCAGTTCCTCATTCATTGAAGTGTATGTAGGACTGCAACAGACTATTTGATTTCTGCACTAAAACATAGAAAATTATGGGGCTTAGAAGCTTATTTTTTTGCTGAAATTAGGGTTTGGAAAAAATGCATATTGTTCTTGCTCGAATAGGAAGGTGTTGAATTGAAACATATCAATATTTCACCAGATCTTGGAGGATTCTGAGAAGTTACTGACTATAGGTGTTTTTGGGATATAAAGAGAACACGGATAGAAGAGAGAAATACAATGACAATGCAATCTCCGGGTAGGACCGGAAGAGAAGATCGAGGGCGGTGGTGTTGGTAAGGTGGCAAGGGGGAAAGGGGGAAGGGTTGAGGGATGTAGGATAGTTTGGAAGGTTGGAGAAGTGCGGGAGGATGACGGGAAGGATGGACAGCAGGTATCGGAAGGCTGGACAACAAGGGTATGCAGCAGGGAAAGGGTTGGTAGGGGCTGGAAACTAGGTTGGAGGCGGCTGGGGAAGGAGCACAGTGGTAGGAATGGTCTGAGGAAAAAGTTACGGTATAGAGGATTGGGAATAAGGGGGGTTACGGCAGAGGGGATGGCTTACTGTGGAAGGAAAACCAGCAAGCTACAATCAAGGCAAGTGGAGGTGGACGTCAGAGAAGCTAAATCACCACAAGGGAGCTGAATACAACTGGAGTACCACCCTAATGATCAGATGCAACCCTAAAAAGAAAATAAGACTTCAACAACTGTCCTTACAAATTGAAATCAGAAAATAATATAAGCTGAAACCTAAAATCAGAAAAAACTAATTTGTATATTCTTTGTTAGAAGTTATATTAGGAAATAATTTATTCATATGAGAAGTTATGGGGGATAAATTATTTCCTTAGATAAGGAGTTATTTTCTTTTCCATTTTATATTTATTTCCTTGAATAATGAGTTATTTCTTTTCCTATTTTATGCTTTTCTATTTTATGTTATTTCCTTTTATCTCCAAATAATTAATATGAATTGAATAATTAGATATATTAGGTGATATATTTTTCCTTTCATATTATTTCATTTTATCATCTTTCCTATTTTAGGATTCATATGTGGGTTATTTATACCTCCTCTCATATCAACAAAATTAATTCCGCTTAATTTCACATTATACTGAATTTCAAAATGGTATCAGAGCCAAATTCCCTACCCCAGCTACCAGTCCTCCCTCTAGAGCCACCGAACTCCCTCCTGCCATTCTCCTTGAATAAATGGAGGGATGCTTTCTCTCCTCGATCCTGCCTGCTCTCCTTCTTGATCATTTCTCCCGCGTCTTTAATTTCTCTCCAATTGCTTCATTCTCCCTCTCAAGGTTTCTTCTACATCAAACTAGTGGCGGTGCCGACTCCCTTCTACTGGCTTCTCACTCACAAATTTACGTTGATCCAACTGCAAATGGGGTGCGCGGTGGAGGCGCCGTCCTCGGAGCCCGAAAGGTGGCATTCCTAATCACCAACAACTCTGTTCCCTCTCTCTCGACTTCGATACCTCGGTCTTCAAGAAGGAGAAGGTCAACTTTGCTGGCCATGAAGAGTTCATCGTTAGAGGTGGAAGGGATCTATTTAGTTTATTGTCGGATGCGTTCAAGGGAATCAAACAAATCGGTGTTATAGGTTTGGGTTCGCAGTGCCCTGCTCAAGCACAAAACTTGAGGGATTCACTTGCCATTGCACATTCATATATTATTGTCAAGATTGGATTGAGGAAAGGTTCTCGATCTTTTGAATAAGCCCGAGCTACTGGATGTAGTGAAGAAAATGGAACTTTGGGTGATAACTAGGAAACAATTTCAAGCAGTGATCCTGTTTTGCTATTAATTTCAGAAACTGCACAAACATATAATTATGAAAAGATTTTCTTTCACGTGAAACTGAACAACATTTTGGGATTATCACATGGTTCTTCTCGGCTATTTAAAGTCACAGGGCCTTGTCTTCCCTAATAATATTAGTGTTATCGTTGTATGTCCCCAAAGGAATGGGTTATTCTGTGATAAGGCTTTATGTTCAAGGAAAGGAGATAAATGGTGCAGGAATCAGCTCAAGTTTTGTAGTTCACAAGGATATTGATGGAAGGGCTACAAATGTCGCTCTCGGGTGGTCAGTTGCTTCAATGACGCCTCAGATTGAGGTCCTGAGGAAGAAGAGGCGTTCTTATTCAAAGATGATCAACAAACGTGTCATCGAATCAGTGGATTCCCTTAATCCTTCCATGCATGCTGGTGGAGTGGCATTCATGGTCGACAATTGTTCGACACCAGCTCGTTTGGGATCGAGGAAGTGGGCACCGCGCTTCAACTATGGCTGCGTTTGGGGCAGCATATAACTACGGGCAGCGTTTTGAAAACGCCACCTTACCTTTTGATTCGAGCGTTTTTCCAGATTATTCCAGAACGACGTTTTTAATATGTTAAGGACGCGTCCCGCGGGATCATCTCCACGGGTCACATTCGTTCCAGTGTGTATTACTCTGCTGCCCTCCCAGGTAAACCTATTGCGCTCGTCTAGCCGCGTCTCCCTTCATCTTCGGTAATCCTTCTCGACAAGTAAACACAACCTTTGTTTTTTTTTTCTTCTGCTGCCACTCTTCTGCTCCTGTGTTTTTTTTTCAGTGGAAGAGGGATTTGGTAAACACAACCTTTTATTTTTCTTCTGCTGCACTATGCTGCCGCTCCTCTGGTCATTTGCTTTTTTTTTTTTTTTGCTGCGGAAGTCATATCCAAGCCTACTCATCCCTAAATATTCCTATACAATCAACTATTGACTTGCCCAAATAACCACCATAAATTTAACCCTAGTTCCTCACTAAACCCTTGCACGCTCTATTCTACATCTGTCATGTACCGCCACAGAATAGTGTGTATCGCTTCCTTAGAATCCTCCCACCACCAAATTATCAAGCAATCCTATTAATGACTAACCAATTAAGTATAATATACCTTAATGGAGTGATAATTTCATTCATCACTGCAAAATGGAACAATTTTACACATTGTTGATTGAGATGACACTACTATAACAAGGCATCAATTTAGGTCCACGGGTTGAGTTTGAGTTTAACCAAAAAAATGACCCAATATAAATATATTCAATTCAAATCCAAACCGTTCATTGAATATGTCAAAATTTTCTATCTCGAAAGTGATATTGCCTAACCCAAACCAAAACTAATAAGAAATAGAAAATATTTAAATTGAGATTGGATAGAGTCAGTCTGACCCAATATGAAAACAACTTGATCAAGGCACTAACTCAAACAAAAAAAATGGTAAAAAGAAAAAAAAAACTATGATTTAATCAAAGTTAGTATTTTTCAGTTTGAACTAAACCCAACTTGACTTTTTTCAAGTCAATTTGCTGACTTAAACTCGACCCAAGTATAATATCGGTTGGCCCAAACTCAATTTTTTTGTGATGGATCCAATATTCACACCTCTACTGCTACATAATTAAGAGGCCAAACCCCTTTTGATGAAGGAATCTTTCTTTAACAAGGATAAGTTTTTTAAATTTTTTATATAAATTTTAATATTTTGGTCAAAGTTTAAAATTACGCAACTGAAAATTGAGAGATTTTTATCTGTGAGGTGAGATATAATCCTTAGAACAAATAATATATGCAAAATAAGAAATATTATACTAATATTAAAATTTAAAGTAAGAAATGATATATTAGCGTCCTAATATCAAATCATAAAGTAAGAAGAATCATGCAAATATTAGAATAAGATAGCAAAACAAATTAAGAGCATAACCAATCAAAATAACTTCAATATAATAGTTCTCTCCTACTCCCAAATCAAAGTAAGAATAATAAGCCACTAAAATTAAGGCTTATAAATTCAATGGTCAACGGTCTTTTTCAGCACTGAGTGGGCCTTCATTAGAACTTTCATCATAACAAATTGATTTCTCTCATGCCTCATCCTCAATTATGTCAATATTCACCTAATATTTCACATCTTTAATCTCAACCATCTTATTCTAATTCAATCAATAAAAACAAATAAAACATTAATTTAAAATTTAAAATGATGGCTATTTTGACTATAATATTTTACATAAATTTTTATGTTAATTTCAAATTGACTTAGGTTAGACAAATTGGCCTTACTTCTATCTCCATCTAAGAAATCAAAATCGAGATCTTATAATAAATTTGAAAGAATAGTTTCATTGTCATAGTACACAAATCATTCATCATTTAATGGCATAGCATTACAGACTAACGAAATTTCATCATCCTTCGAAATATGTTTCCTTCCATATATATTTTTTAATCTCTTATTGTACATGATATAAACTATGAAGTTCAATCATAAAAATTTAAATGATTTCTCATATTGGAGTGTGCGTGAGACAAAAAGCTAGGGTAAGCGTGCATGAGACCGTAAGCTGTGATGAACAGGAATAAAGTAATAAGAGAATTTTGATTTTATAAGCACGATACAAGCGAGAATTGGAGAAATATATCTAATATTTATTTTCTCAAGAAAATATGCCAAAAAGTTTTTAGTTTACTCTTATTGTCATTGTAAGAGTAGTGTACTGGTTTAGTGGGCAATGATATAATGATTGTCATTGTGATAAATATTACTCTTTGTTATTGCTAAAATCTATTATGTTATATCTACTATAATTACATTCTGCTATAGCAAATTTATAATTTGCTCTATTTAAAATATTGGGACGCACTCTAATCTATTTGAATAATGCTTGAACCCTGGTCAAACATTGTCAAAGAACAGTCTGACTACTGTACTTCATTTCTTATAATATGCTCCCTCTGATAGGACTATTGTCTTATATTTTTTATAATTAATATACAAAATATGTCAAATGCACTATGTTGTGCCATAACTATTGTGATTGAATTCCTTATTATACCAGTCTAAGATAAATCCATAAACAAACCATGATCAAACAATCTTTAAAATTGATAGAGCATTAAACAAACAATAATCAATCCAACCTCAAACAAGCTTCACATAATCTGAGAACTTCATCAAACAATCTTTGAATCATGAACATTCTTTAAATCATCTTCGATAAACCATTGAATAATGATCACACCATTTTCGTATTATGATAGAACCATCTTTGAATCATCTATCTCTAAACAAAGATTCATCTATCTTTGAATCACGATCTAGCAATGACTGAAACATCTTCGAACACATTATATATACTTCAATTTTAAAAGGCAATCCACAATAATACCATTTGGTTTGGAGAAAAGTTGAAAGGTTAGAAAATATTATTCAAACTGGTTGAGAAAAAGTAAAAAATTAAAAATCAAAATGGGAACAATAAAACAAGTAGATAAATATACAAGTAGAAGAGGTTGTGTATTGCCTTTCACAAAAGTAGGTCTTGAACAACTTGTGCCTGTGGAGCTATGTCTAAAGAAGCATCCCCTGATTCTACTCTTTGCTGAAGCTTGTGTCTGCCATGACGATGGCTGTTCCTTGCGGAACTCCTATGGCCTTTTTCTTCTTTAGCCTCATTTTTCTTAGAATTTCTGTTTTTTTCTTTACCATGACCATGATGCTTGCCTTTTCTAGAGCTGGAACTTCCCATTTCTCTCTCTCGCATGACTGAATTCTCTTTCAAAGGTAAATCTGCATTGCTGATTGTTGAACTTTCTTTCACCAAACTATGTGTATGGTTCTCAGAAAGTGTCTTCTGGACTGTTGCTGATGTTGCAGAAAGCACATCCCTAACTGCACCAGAGAGTATATCTTCCCCTGGTTCCTTTACATGCCTTGAAGAAGATGGTAAATCCAAGTCTTCGTCCAACCTTACAACTGTAGGCCGAGGTTTTGCAGGCTTTTTCAATCTAGAAGTTGAGGACTGATCTGTAAGTTTTAAGAGATCATTAGTAGCATCGTCGGGGCTAACTGAATCTTTATAGTCATTGGCTCTTGGGTACTCATTTGACCCATGCACATCCGTCTCTGTAGAAAGATAATACAATCCATGCCGTTTCCTATGCTCAGCAAGCAAAGAAATAGACTCAGTTGTCAGTTCAGAGTCCTCCTTATCTTCATTATGACTGTGTGTTCGTGTGGAGAAAGATACTGAAAGTGATGGATGAACACCATTGTCCCTTAGTATCACATCAAGATCACCAAGGTTTTCCCTAAGCTCCAGCCCTTCAGGCACAAGGGCTCTCTTATGAGCATGTATTGATACAGGACCAAGCTCTCCAGAGAAAGCAGCATTCATAAATTTGACAAAATCCCTAATTTTGCCATCTTTCCTCCAGTTTCCATCATCAGCTTTCCACTCCTCAATCCCATTCAAAATATGAATCAAACCAAGCACATTACACGCCCTCTCTTGAACCTCCACTTCATCACATTCTGACAATGGTAGCATTGCCGTTACAATCAAGTTCAGCATATTGATGATGGATTTACTAGTTAAGAGTTCCTTCATCTCCATTGATTCCAGTTTGAACGAGGCCACATCAGAACTATCCTCACTTTCAGCACCAGTATTCTCATCAATATTACATTTAAAATCAGAGACCACCCCAACATTCACAAAAGAACTGAAGCAAAATGTGACAATTTTAAACACTGCTTGAATGTAAACAGCTCTCACCAGTGATGGCAGAAGAGTAGTTTTTGGCTGCAGAAGACCTTCCACTATCTCTAAGGGGTTCCTAGAAAACTGTATATATTCCCCCAAAATCCAAGCAGCAGCAGAGAGAACTCTATACAGAAATTGATTCCCAAGCAAAGCTGGATCAATCAAAAGAACACGAGCAACACGAACAAGTTCAGACCTAGCCTCCTTCACTCTCAATCCAATATCAATAAGCTGCCTCTCAACCTCCTCCCCCTCCATGAAATGCGGATTCTTTACCATCTCAGCAAGTAGCGATACATACCAATCAAAATCCATCACCAGTTCGTAAAAATTCCTGCTACAGGTTACAAGAATAGCTTCAAGGATCACATTGCTGAATTCAGGATCAGACATCAAAGCATGGTTGATGAGAATAGAGGAGATTTCCACTACGTTGTTTTCGAACACCATGCTCATGATTAGTTGGAGCGCCTCGTGACGGATATTTGGATCAGGATCAGCAAGTGACTTCACAATGGCTTCACGGCTCTCCTCCACCACCCAAGACTGACCTGGCCCGAGCATAGCTAGACCGTGTAGACCGAGGAAACGAAGATTGGGATCATCATCCGAAGCAACAAACTCCTTCACCTTCTCCACAGCAAGCCGCAGGGCCGTTTCTTCATCTGGGAAGCTGGAGAAAACGAGTCGGAGACACTCAAACACCAGAGACTTAGCCGGCGACCGGCGCATAAGCTCGCAGATCGGATCAACGAGTTTGCGCGTAAGGCGAGGCTCCAATACGATCAGGCGGGCAAATATTTTTATAATTTTGATGAGAACCCAGTTGTTGCGGCACTCGAGTAGAATTCGGTGAAAATCCGGGGCGAGCGGGAGATAGGGGCGGGGATCACCGGAGGAAACGAGCTCGCAAAATACACCAGCAGCAGCGGAGAGGAGAGGAGAGGAAGGAGATAGTGCTTCGACAAGTTTGGGGAGGAAGGTTCGAGCGAAATCAGGGGTGAGGCGGAGTACAGGAAGGGAGGTGGAGACAGCGCGGCAGCGTACATGAACTGCAGCGCGTGGGGAGGAGAGAAGAGATAGAAGATCGTTGGATAAGTGAAGGGCGAGATCGGGGGAGCAAGAGAGTGCAAGTAGATGTAGCGCAGGGGAGGAGACGGAAGGATTGGGAGATTGGAGGTCTTTGCGGAGCTGATGGGTGGCTAGGGGCAAGAGTTCGGTGGAAGAATGGTGGAAAGAGAGGGATGCGCACAGGTAAGCGGAGCGCTTGAAAGCGGGTACAGAGGAGGGGAGGAGCTCGAGGGCGTGGAAGGCGGCCCAGGACATGTCGAGGAAGTAAAGGGAGGAGAGATATGTGAGCTTTTGCAGGGCCAGGAACTTGGTGTCGGAATCGGTGGAGCGAATTTCACGGCGTATCTCGGCGAGGAGGCGGTGGATCAGGGACGATTCGCCGCCGGGGGCAGAGCGTAGGGCTTTGATCATGTCATCGAGGGAACGCTGGAAAAGTGAATCCACCAAGGAAGGAGCGAAGCCGCCGGAAGCAGAGGCGGAGCTTCCGGTAGTGGAGAAAGCGCCGGCGGCCATGACGGGTTATGACTGAGAATGGAAGCGAGGAATGTAGGGGTTAAGCAGATCGATCTCGCATTAAGGGATGGTATGGTCGAGGATTTCGTTGGCAATTGGGGCTAACTTGGTAAATGCACTATTGAATCCTGTAAATCCGGTCCAAGAAATCGAACCTAAATCAGGAGATAGAGATGAAAAGATAATTGCTTGAATTGTTGATTAGTCTTTATCAAATGAAAGTATCTTTTATTTATAGAGAAGATGATACAATATAAAAAATTATATATTTACACCTCATCAAAAGAGAGATTTTTTAGGTATTTTATATGTGTAGATTTTTAGTTCGGCTACACTATAACTCCTTCGGATAAAATTAGTTAGTTTTAGTTCTGTATGATATATTTGTTGGACGAGACATGTTCGTTTGTCTTTGCTGCATCAGGTTTGTGGCCATTCTTTTATGGTTTTCGGGTAGGTGAGATTTGGCTCGATTGGCTTGGTTTTACGGGTTGGCTATACTAGTCTGGTTGTCTACTATTAATCCCTGGATATAAAATTTTTGTTGGTAGAGCAAGTTTAGGTTATCGAACATCGAGTAAGGGTGTATTTGGGGCAGCTTGTACTTATTCAGATAATCCGCTTATATGGAAACACGGACCACAGGGTTCGACTCGCTTTCCGCTTTCTGTGTAAAAAACTAACTGCATTTTCGGATAAGCTGCCCCACACGGAGCCTAAATCACTGTAATTCAACATGTAATTTACTCGTCGACGAGAAAAACTTTTTGGGATGTCTCTATTCAGATAATCCGCTTATATGGAAACACGGACCATAGGGTTCGACTCGCTTTCCGCGTTCAGTGTAAAAAACTAACTGCATTTTCGAATAAGCTGTCCCACACGGAGTCTAAATCACTGTAATTCAACGTAATTCAACAGGTAATTTACTCGTCGACGAGATAAACTTTTGGTGATGTCTCGTGTGGTTATGTGATTGCTAGTTTTCGGCCCCTAGTGAGAAATCCTGAGGGCGTTCGTGAGATAGCTCGTGATGTCGCATTTTTTTTAATTGGGCTATGACAAAAGGGAGATCGATTCCTTCGTTCTATTCGATAGACTTTAATCTTTGGTTCAGACAACCTTCATTCGATTGGCCTTTGACCTCCATTTTTTTTTTGGAGTAGCATCTAGTCAGACAGGTCTTAATTAGGGCTGTCCAAACGACTCGTTGTTCAAGAACAACTCGTGTTTGGCATGTTTAGTAGCTCGTGTTCAATTCGGTTGCTAAACACATGAGCCAAACACAAACTTTTTTTGCGCTCAATATATAAACGAGCGGAACATGAACAAAGTTTTGTTCGTCCGTGTTTGACTCATTTTGACTGCAAATAATTTATATATATATATATATATATATTGAGTATTATTTTTAAATAATTTAATTGATTACAATGTTTAATCAATTAAAATTAATAATTATAAATAGAATAAAAATATATTAAATATTATTTAAATGAATATTTTAATATAAATAATAATATTTAAATATCATCTCACTTTTAACATTCTACGACTGTGTGATTAGAGTTGTCAAAGTAGCTCATTATTCGTGCATAGTTCGTGCTCGACTCGATAAGCAAGCTAACCAAACACAAACAAATTTTTTGAGCTCGATATATAACCAAACACATCTAACTCATAAAAATTAATCTATACCTAGATGTTATGTTATCACTATTTTAACTTTTAAAAGTGAAATGATAACATAGGATCTAGGTATAGATTAAATTTTATGAGTTAGAAGTGTAAATACATAGGAAACAAATGAACTTAGATAATTAATATTACATCAAAATATAACTATTATTAATTTTTTTTAAAAGTTTAGGACATCAAATTTTCATGAATGTAAATATCAATTTTTAATCGGTAGATATGTAAATTCATAAGAATTATGTTGCATGCATGTAAATTTTTAATTTTTTATTTATTTGGATGAATATCTCAAAATGCATTATGAATGAAAATGCCTTGTGTAAGCATGTAGATGGGGATTGCCAACTTTTTGCGAACAACGAGCTTTTTTGACAGCCCTACTCGTGTGGTTATGTGATTGCTAGTTTCAGCCTCTAGTGAGAAATCTTGAGGGCGTTCGTGAGATAGCTCGTGATGTCGCATTTTTTTTTAAAATTGGGCTATAACAAAAGGGAGATCGATGCCTTCGCTCTATTCGATAAACTTTAATCTTTGGTTCAGACAACCTTCATTCGATTGGCCTTCGACCTCGGTTTTTTTTTTTTTTTTTTTTGAGTAGCATCTAGTCAAACAGGTCTTGATTAGGGTTGTCAAAACGACTCGTTTAAGAACAACTCATGTTTGGCACGTTTAGTAGCTCGTGTTCAATTCGTTCGCTAAACAAATGAGCCAAACATAAACTTTTTTTGCGCTCAATATATAAATGAGCAGAACATGAACAAAGTTTTGTTCATCCGTGTTCGGCTCATTTTGACTGGAAATAATTATATATATAAT